CATGACAGTTAACCAAACAGACTGACACTTCTAAAACAGTGATTTTTATCTTTATAAGTTGATTATCTTAGTTATTTGTTACAGTAACAGAAAGGTGACTAATACAACTACCTTCCTTGATCCTCAGGCAGGACAACATTATGTTCTCATGGTACCCAGCACCACACACTTTTGGTAGTGACCCCCTTGCAAGTTTGACTTCCATATAGGTTCCATGAAAGCAGCGAATGTATCCATCTTGGGTACTTCCTTTTCTTTAGCACTTAGTAGCCAGGCATATGGAATACACACAATGAAAACTTAAATGAATGAGCCAACCACCTTTCTCAGTATTTCATCTGTGTGGTAGCTTATGATTTTTATCAGAATCATTCTTGTTTGTCCTAAGGAATGTTTTTTGAATTTTGTTGATTCCCAAACCTGAATCCAGTGTCCTTTCCTTCCTCCTAATATAGCTTTGATTTAATCCAGAAGTCCACCCTTCCCTGGATAACTCACAGGATTCACAGGAAGCCGATTCCTTCTCTATTGCCAGAGATTTGACCTAATTAGCCCTAATGAAAGTATTCACGATCTTCTTGGCAATGAATCATTTAGATATGGCCATGCAATGTAGTTAACTTTCATCCATGATGTTTTCTTGGGGTATCTGGGAAAACTTCTTTTTGCTTTTCATGAAAGTCTTTTATATATATATATTTTCAGTGGTTCTTAACTTTGGGCTATTTTGCTTACCAGGAGACATTTAGCAGATACTAGAGATGTTCTTTATTATTACAATATGGGAGATGAAACTGGTATCTAGTGATTGGAGACCAAGGATGATGAAAAGCATCCTACAATGCAAAGGATCCACCACCAAAGAATTACTCAGTCCAGACATTAGTACTGTCAAAGTATAGAAACCCTCATCTCACATGAATCACAAAGTACTCAGCCCTCTCTGATGGCCCTTCCCATTATGCAAGTACAGGAAAACTAATTTTAGGATAAGTCTCTTATTAACTATAGATTTCTTTTTTCACCTGCATATTTGTGTTAAAATTTTCTACATAATATTTTATGTTAGTATTATTTCCATCTATTTTCCTCTGAATTTGTTTAGTACATATTTTGGAAAGTGTTTTTTATCAATTTTATTGAATGACATAGGTGAGATAAGATGTCTGATATATAGCAAGGAACTAAAGATTCATATTTTGAATTAAGAATAAATGTGTATCAAACAATAATATTAATGTGATTTATATTTCATTGATTTTTAGGTGGTACTTGTATATTAAAATAATTTGCAGTTAACATAGAGCTCAAAATCTCATTTATAAACCATTGCTTTAAGAGATTTCTGCCTCTAAATTTATTATCCTTTCTTTTTATGTTTAGATATTATCTTTTTGAATGTTTAGATATTATCTTCTTGGGCAAAAGCAAACACAGAGGAATTGTGTTTTTTTAAATATATATTTTGCATTTTATAAACAGACCTTTAAGTATTTGTCAAATAAGTCAATCAAAGCTTTAGAATTTTGTGTTCCTAACCACTTGTTTAACAATTTAATATTCTGTGATTTTGTTCAAGGTCATGGAAACAGCTTTGTTTATTCATGATATGTCTAAGAGTGGCTATGGAGGCTTTCAGAAAATTACAATGGAAATTAATTGGCACAAACAACTATATAATATTTTACAAAGCTGAAAACATTAATAATACTGTATCAGAGATAGACAACTGGGTAAAGTTTTTGAGAAACAGTCCAAATCATCAAAGTCTCATTTTAAAAAACTAACCTTTTATTTCAATTAAGGTATGATAGAAAAATATTTTTGCTGACTGTATATTTGTGCTAATAGGAGAAACTACCATATTTTCTATTCGTTCACTGTGTCAAGTAACATATTCTGGGATTTTAGGCATGATCCAGAAGCTACTGTTGTGTATAATTAACACAGCACAAATCAACTTTAGTGTCTTTAAAACTATCTCATTTTTCTAAGGGTTAAATAAGTACCTTGCTCTTTAAACTAGACCCTCTCAACTATGAAAACGACACGTGTCCAGTTGCAGAATGAAGGAAACAGAGGTACAGAAAACACTGAAGACTTGGCATTCATATGTCACTTGTGGATTACAGGAGTAAAAGGGAGTCCTCTGGCATGTTGCCCTCTGTAAAAGAAAGCAACAGTGGGGACGAAGGGAATTACAGAGCCTTAGGACCCTGACCTAGGGACTTTCTCCCCATTTTCTAGAAGATCAATGCTAAGAGCTGCCAATCATCATGGGTCAGTAGTGGGGGAGGAAGTTATAGTGTTAGAGTGTCAAACGCCTTCTTAGCAGGGTAAGTATTAGAGCCTTGAAGATGAAGGTAACAGTTTTAAATGCTCTCAAAGTTGTTGCAAGTGTCAGGAGCCTGTGATTTGTGAGCTCTGTCCTTGCTCTTGCATCACCCCTCTAACCCCTGTCCAGGGCTGGCCTGCACAAGTGTGTAGGCATCTGCCAGTTGAGTGTGATTTGAAGGGCATCAAGAGGCCCACTTGGCTCTAATTATTCCCCCCTGGGTCTGTCATAACCTCTCCATTACCTAGCAGAACATCTGGGTCAGTAAATCTTCTGGATGGATGGATGGATGGATGGATGGATACATGAATTTATTCAGCACATACATGTTTAGGACTTGCAGGTATTATTTTTCATAGGACCCCCAAATAAATCTAATCAATAAATTTCTAATTTTCATGAGGCCCATAGTCTAGTTAGAAAGCAAGTAAAATAAACACAATTTAATGGGGGTTCTAAATTTTTGAAGGAAAAGAAAAGAATAAAAAGAATGCTAAGGGTCACAGTCTTTAGGAAAAAATCTTCCAAGGAAAGCATTTCTGATATGAAAAATGACTGCAGTTAAAATGTAAGCTATTGGAAGAAATCTCATCATCTCATCAACCCTGGGTGGTGTTTAGAAACGGTAAAGTAGAAGACTAAGAGAACCAGGTACTTTTGAAGGAGGGAAAACATTTCAAGAAGCATCTGAGTGGCCAGACTTCTGTCCCAGCAGATGTGATCCTGAGCAGAGAATGAACAGGGAAGGCCTGAGCAAACGAAGGCAGAATCACTGAGCCCAGGAACAGGGACAGAGGGCCTTGCAGGGCTGTCCAGAACCAGCAGGCCAGAGACAGCACCTGATGGGAAACTGACTCTGGGAATCCAAGCTGAGCAGACAAGCTGCACTCACTGTGACATGTGGTAACTCTGTGAAGGGCTTTACTTTTTCTTTTCTTTCTTTCTTTCTTTTTTTTAATGGAGAGGTACGAACCTTATGTCCATCTAGGAAGATGGAATTGACTTTGGAGCCACTGGTTTAGTGACAGTTAAGATGAAAGCCTTGAGCTATTTTAAATGAATGATTTTTGCTTTAGATTAGACTATCTCTTGTCAGTTCTGGAGCCGCCATTTAACTTTCCATTTATCTGTTGCTTTTGGATTCATCAGAGAAGAGTTGCATGAATAATACTAAAAATGAGCTTCCTATGTGATCAAACTCAATCTTTTCAAATTTGAGGAGCTACTACAGAGCGCTGAAAAATAGCTGACTGACTAGATGAGTGAATGGAAGGAATGAAAAGATTTATCATTCTGACGCCTGTGACACAGTCATACTATGTTTTCACATCTTCCCCTAACTCTCCTGACACTGTGCTGGTGGGAAAATTAAAACAAACAACAACAACAACAAAAAGAAATCTTACCTCAAATCACTGCTTTTTTTTTTTTATATATAAAGTGCTATACTTTTATTTTCATATGAGATTAGCCAGACCTCTAAAGCTGCATTATGTGTTCTTGAAGTACATAAGCACAGACGGACCTATAAAAGATAAAAGTTCAGCTTTGGGGGTAAGCCTTAAACTAAATTTGCACTGCTTCCTGGTTTCTACTTTAAAATTCCAAAGATAAGAGTCCCCCGTATTTGCCATCCATTATCACTATTTAAACATCTCTCATTGCTGAAGTCACGCTTTCATGGGTTGACTTTGAACAGTAGCAGTTCATGAAGACAGCAGAGGCCTCACCTCCCAATCCTATCTCCTACTTTGTTTTTTCTATTTTCAGCATGAAGACTCTTTTTAGTATCAGATGGAGGGACACATTTTTCTCTCTGAAGACATGAAGGCAAAGGAGGGGAAAGAAAACCTCAGAAGCAATCTTTTCAAATTTGCAAAATTTCCCTCTAATAAATAACTGCTTTCTAACAATAGCCAAAGAACCTTCTTGAACATCAAATTGCTCTTGCAGAATGACATTAAAAAAAAAAATGTTCAGTGTACCCAAACCAGAAACATATGGATAAAACAGCAAACATTTAGAAGTGAGTGAATTAAATGGAAAAACACCTCTGAAAGCACATTGTTTATTGTTATTACAAAACCACAATGTTACTAATATTGAATAAATTCTGAAAACAGCTGGATTTTGACTTTCTCTAATTGCATCTGACCTGAATTGACTTTTTTTTTTTTTTAAAGACAATAACATTTCTGTGCCTTACCCTTCGTTTCAGAACTAAGTTCTGGAATATTCCAAAATGCTTACTGAATTCACTTTCTCCATGTGAGTGAATAAGTAAGAGTGAGCTTGCAGCCCATGGCTGAGGCTTTCATGATAATGGAGGAACAATGGTCTTTGAAAGTCACAGATAATCCTCAACTCTCCTGGTGGTCATCTGTTTCAACCCAATCTTTCTCTGCAACAACCAGTAAGATGCAAAAGTGACTGATGGTTCTCTCCCTTCCCCTGCCTGACCCTGGGTACACACCCCTCTCCTGGAGGTGCCCAGGATCAGGGAAGTAACCCAAGTCAGGGAGTAGAAGGAACAAGAAAGAAAAACAAACCAAGTGAACAACCCGAAATGACAGAGTGTTGGCTGTTTCCTATTATTCACTCAGCTGAGCTGTCTCAGATGTGTGTTTTGAGAAGACTTTCATGTTGTGTTTTCTTTCCTCTTCAGCACTCACCACCATTTTCCATGCAAGGCACAAGGGGTGTGAAGGACTTGAATGAAGTCCAGGTAGGCTGCCAGATCATCTCCCCGTGCTCAGAGACAGCATTTCTACCTTTTTTTGGTTTTGTTTTTCTTTTGAAAACAGGCTTTTAAATGGTGCAGGAAGCTTATGTCAGTGATGAGTGAAACTGAAAAAGTCACCAAGTCGGGACTGAAAATTCAAAAGCAGCTCATCAATGCCTGGTAGTGATGGACAGCTCTAAACCCAGGGAGATTTTTAAAAGCTTTTTGGTGTTTGGCATATCCACTTCCTAAAGAGCAGCCTGCAGTTTATAAACGATATGATCCTCAATGAGTTCTACCCTCTCTATCAGAAGGCTTTTACATTCTTGTATCATGAATTAAACATAGGACAATCTCATCCATTTAAATAAAATCCGCCTACTGGGGCCATATGTATGGCCTGGGTCAATTCTGTGGAAGCACCATTGTGGAAAAGAACGCCCTCCGGCCATGTCTCTTCTGTTTCAATTGTCCAAGGCTAAGAATGAACACCAAAGAGGAAGGAACACATCAATCTGAGTCACTAACACTTCAAAGATGCTTGCTCTTTCTCAAAAGACCAATACACTGCAGGCTGTCAGCAGACATAAACTAACTTAAAGAGAGTTTCCTAGAGCACGTAGACTTATGTAAAACTGCTTTTTGTTTGTTGAAGGATTTAATGGTAGAGAGGGTTTCTTTGGATGTAGAAAATTAATTCGGAAAAGTCATTATGATGATTTATGGAGCAACAGTTTTGTTCCAAGCTTTATGCTAAGTGCTTTACATCAATTACAAGATTGAATTATTTTGAAAATCTTGTGAGGTAGTTATTTTCCTTATTTATCATCTATATTAGTACAATTAGCAAAAAGGAAGTGCAGACTAGTGAAGTATTTGCTAAAACTCACACAATGTCAAAATTTGAATTTCCTTTATATTATGAGATAGCACATAGATTGAAAGAAGACGGACTTGAATATTTCATTAAGATAGTTGAAATTTTTTCAGAGTCTACTAATATTGATGTAGTTTGATACAAGGCTTTGCAAAAAAAAAAAAAAAACTTTTCTTATAATTTGACTTTTTATGTTCTTTCCAGTAATGTGTCACCATAGGGTTCATATTGCCTTTGTGTATTTCAACAATTTTAAATCTAGCACAATTTTTTCAATATTTGTTTTCCTTTTTTATCGTCACAAATTTTTGCTTAAGTTATATCTGTACCTTCTATATATGTCAATTTAGTAAAGAGACAAATGTGAAAAAGTAAAAGAAAATAGAGATAACTATTTTCTTTACCTATATAAAGAGCTTTAAAAAATCAATATGAATATGTAGAATGACTGAAAAGAAGAATGGACAGAGAACAGAGAATTCAATGGAAAATAAATAGAAATGATTATACTTTAAAACATATAATAAAATGTTTGCTATCAAAAGAAACTAGAGGAATGCAAATTAAACAATTTAATATCTTTATTATTGTAAATAGTTAAAAACTATTGTTTCATACCTGTTTTTTGTTTCAAGGACTTAGAAATATGGCCACTCTCAAACACCTGGTGAGAGTACAAATTATTAAAGCATACACACATATGGAAAATTTAAATATAGTAGAAATATCAAGATTTAGAATGTTTATAATATTTGAATTGATAAGTGTACTTTGAGTAATTTATATGAAAAATGGAGAGAACCATCAAATTTTAACAACTAGAATAGTTTTCTTATAAATAAAAATTTAAATAACTTATAAATTCAACACAACATAAATGCCTAACACATTTTTCATATAGTCTTTTGACAGCTATAGTTTGAAGACTAATGTGAAAACAATATATTTACTTATATCATTCATATTAAAATGCAATACATTTATTTACATTATATCTTTAAGGAGAAAAAGAATACATATGATATGATCTCAATTTTAAAAACAAATATTTTATATATATTGTTACACAATATATTTCATATATACATTATATATGCATGAATCTATATACTAGAACAAGATAAACAATATTATCTTAAGGTGCTTGAATTATAGGTGATTTTTGCCTTTATATGTTTCTGCATTTAAATTTTTCTACAGTTAAAATGTTATTTAAGCATTTAATAAGTCATAGTTCTCCTAAAGTAAAGGTGAGTATGAAATTAGGAATGAAATCAGGAATCTACCATGGTGTCAACAAATAATAGCCCAATATAAATTCAAGGTACTGCTGTAAATATAAATGGTTGCTTAAGTAAACACAAGAAAGAAGTTTAGTCTCATTATTTCTTTCGGAAATATAAATTAAAACAAGTATAATGATTTTTCTCATGTCTATTTTCAGTGTTGCTAACATGGAAGTAATGGGCATTTGAAAACATTGTTGTTTGGGAGGCAGTGTGTCACTATTAAAGTTAGCATCTTCAATTCCAGAAATAGATTCTACAATTGAATAAAATCAGATGTATGCAGCATGTTTTATAAAAACAAAATGTTAGGGGTATCATAAATACTCATCGAAAGAAAATGTATAAATGGAGTTACCAGCTGCTCAGTGTTTTGGAGAGACGTATCTGTAATAAAATAGATAACTAAGACATAGTATATGAAAAATTTAAAAGGTACAACAAAAATTTTAAAAATCTGAATATGTAGAATATACCTGAACAGATAAATCCTAAATTTACAGTGGAATAGAACCAAGTTTCACTGGAGGGACTGGAATAGGAATTTTATTTTTAACTTTTATCCTTCAACAGTGTTTGAAGTTTTTGCAGTGGGAAGTATTCATGTATAATGTGCAATTAAAATGATTAAAAATGATCAGTGGCCCAAGAAAAGTGTCAGCCATTTGTTTTAACCAAACACTAAAATATTGGCAGGTATCATCATGGTGTTAGAACTGTGAATTACTTTCCATAAAATATGACTATTTTCCTTTTCCCCTCAAAGTATTTTAATTTTTGTGGCCAGCACAAGGCTGATCTTGGCAAGAGTGGAAGGTATTCTCCCAGGAGAAGAAATCCATAGAGCAATGTGTCCAATATATTAAATTGCAACAGTCATTTCTTTAAGGTTTTTGGTTGTCTCATCGTCTCTTAACAAAACATTTTTATTTTTCCAATTTTAAAACCCTCCAGTGACCATTTTGCTTGATTTCTCTTTTGTCTTTCTTTCATTTCTTCATGACAGTAATGCAAAACAAATTTTGATATAAATGTCTTATGCACTTTTTGACTGCTCAATTCTGCTTCCAAGTAGAGCCAGAGAACATTAATATTTTGATAGAAAATAATTTTTCTCTTTGAACTAGATTGTTTTTCAAAACTGAAAACAAGTCCACTTTTGTTATAAATGTAATTGAAGCTAATTTTAAAACAGATGATAAATGAAAGTGCAACAAAAGCAAATTAATACTTTAATTCTGTCACAAGAAGATAATCCAGGTTAGTATTTGGGTGTGCATGTGTTATGTGCATCAGGTTTCTTATAACTTGACTTTTCCCCCATGTGACGTACTCCTTATCCTTATCATTTGTAATAGTAACACAGGATTCTACTATATTGGGAATTCCATTGTTAATAGCCTCTCCTTCCTCATTGAAAATCTTGTCACCAATAACAGAGGGCTGAATATGCTAGTTGTTCACATTCTCAGTTTTGTTTGCTGCTAAGGTGTGGGCATAAAGCCCAAACCTGGCCAGTGGATCCAAATTAATAAAGTTGCTGGAATTGGCTTTCATCCTTGAGGAATTTATAAAAAAAAGGTTCTTGGAGAAACAATCTTTCTTCATGTATCTAATTGTATGAGCTATAATGCCTGGAGCTGCAGGAGCCTTTTTGTGACCATGAGGAATGAAACCCAAGAACAAAGCTATGCCAAGAACAATAGAGTTTGAAGACTAAAAGGTTCTGAATCTTTGATGATTTTCCTGAACTGCTGAATGACTACTGGCATTCCTTCTCAGGAATTCTTGTGGGCTAACAGATTACTACTGTTTAAACCAATTTAATCAAGTTATTGTGTCAAGCTATTGACAAACAATCTATTTATATAGGATTATATCTAATTCTCAACTTCTCAAACAAAATTGAAATGTTCATTTTTTAAATGTACAATTGTCTAAGTTTGTCCAGATGATTTCTTAAAAGAAATTCTTCGTCTTGGGATTCCTGGCAGAAAAGTTAGGGTGACTTTAAATATAAATCTAACTTTTATTTTAAGAGCATATTAGCTAGAATTTATTATCTCCTTCCTTGTTCTTCTATTCCTTAATTGTGGAAGTGTTTTTAGTTTACTTATCTGTAAAGCAGATGAAATAGTACCTATTTCCTTTTCTTTCTGTGAGGATTAAACAAGTCATCACCTCTAAAACTATCAGAACTGTCTAGCTAGCACTGGAAGCAGTAGTGAATTTCTCTGTGTACCCTCATATCCTATCCCAGTAACTGACTGTGTATTAGTTGCTTAATTAATCTTTATCAGAGAAGTGAAGAAATGAATAATAACTCTGAGTTTTTTAATCTAGCCTAGTGTTGCATAAGGGTCTCTGGGACCCATTCTGTTCGCTCTTACCTCTGTTATTCCGTCTTTTGCTGGAACCATAAATTGAGCTGGAATATAATATGAGTCAGGCTATAAGTCAGGGTAGATTTTTAATACAAAAGATGCTCGCTCTGAACCATCCTTAGGGTTGGCATACTGGGCTACAAAAAGGAGCTTGCTCCACAAAAAGTATGCGCTTTGAAAATCATGGACTAGAAGCACTGAGTCTTCAAGGAGAAAGATTTTGATGGTTTATGTAGTTCTACTGTATTCTGCACCATGATTATTGCAGATTTCATGCCAAAATGTTTTGCAAAAAGGTGAGGTGTGACCATTACATCCATTACATGAAACATTTTTTAAAATTGTGCTGATATAACTAACTCAACTGTCTGATGCAATAATAATGTATAACTCAACTGTCTGATGGAAGATTAGGCTGCACAGAATACTTGTGAAGGTACATGAATGTAGTGGCAA